CCACACACCCCCTACCCCCCTCTAATAGTGGGGTACCCCCCCCTATTAGTCAACCACATCCTCTGGCCTCCATCTTGGCTTCATTCTCTTTCATTCTGCATTCCTCATCTTTCTTTTCCAAATCTTCCCAATCAAAAAATGGATTGGTGGCATCACCAAATGGTTTCCCAATAGTCTCATCAAATGGACTGCAATGGTTTCCCCATTCAGTTTCCTTCCCATCCAAAGCTTCCCAATCAAAGAACTGATTGGACTCTTCCTCATACACCAACAAGTGCTCATCAAATGGAACACCACTCTCATCATACACATCCAAGTGCTCATCAAAAGGAGCACCACTCTCATCATACTCCTCATTGTCACTCATGCTCTCACCAAGCACCTCATACCTATTCATGGTTGCAATAGCAAATTTAGACATCTTGCCCAATGCCAGGGATGCAATATACCTATGAGGCTTCTTGAACCCAAGCTCTCCATACACTCATAGATTAACTAGCTAATATATAGATATATGTGTTCAAAATCCATGCTCATACATACTGCGCACAAGCCAATGCACCCAATGTCTCCTTGGAAAGAGCGCATATATATATATATATACACAAATATGACATTACTTTAGTAGGATGCTTCTCATGGACACATGGATCCCATCAAACCAATCTCCTCGTGTCACCAATCTCTACCCATCCCCACCAATCCACTCATTTCTTTTTTGCTGTTGGGAATGAAATACCCAATCAGTTCTCATTCCAGCTCACCTCATTGGAAAAGAATCAACATATATAAATATCATAGTTCTCATGCACCAAAATACTTCTCATGAACACTAATTACTCATGAACATCTGAACACCAATCAGCCCATCAATCCATTGCAGCGCTCATGGCTGCAATCCTGAGATGGGCCCATGGATGTTGAGGCATTGAGCTCATCCAAAAATGTTGCTCATCTTCAAATGGAGCCATGTGGCTGAGCCATGATTGGCATACACAAATAGCCTCATCGCAAATAGACAAACAACCTCATGCCTAATTAATCATAGAGGTGATGGACTGATACAGTCAATTATATGTGATTCACCCATTCATGGTATAAGCGCACCTACCTCATTCTAGCATGCCAATCTCATTCCTCAGCCAAAAGCCCATAGGCTCATCACCTGGCTGATCCAGGTGATCCCTTAAGGGTGGCCATCTTCTGGACCATCTTCTCATAGACCATGATGAACTCATCTTTCTTATGCATCTTGCTCCTGAGATGGCACATAGCTCCATAATGTAATGACCAAATGGAATCTATTGAACTTATTGAAAAAGATGACATCTCATTGAAAGTCTCATGATCTTCCCCATTAATTACTCACCATTACTCGAAACCATTAACGATATAAAACTCGTCTATGGCAATGAAAAAATAGTTCTAATCATACCAAGTCTCACCACCTTTTCCATGTCATCATGGCTCACATACCCCATGTCCTCATAATCGAGCTGCATCCAATAGATCCATCCTCAGCGCAAGAACTCTAATACCACCTAGTGAGGTATTGACAAAATAACTACTTATGTCTAACCTAATCAACTCAAAAGAGCCTTATCTATGCACAGCCAGGATGCCACACTCATTGCTCTCATCCCAGAATGTCTCCCATGCCTCATCATCTGGGGCCAATGGCTTGAATAGGCCAGTCCTGAGATGTGATATAACTAATGTTCAATTAAAAATACTACCACTACCAATACACTCATCAAGAAGACATAAAAATATTGCTGCCTCATCCAAGTTGCAGGAATGCTGCCTTGACATTGCTCCTATACTCATCCAGCAAAATGTTGATGTCACTGATGTGCCCATCATTGAATGCTGAATATATCGCACCTCAGATCAATACCCAATAAAAACTAATTATACAATTCAAATAGAATACACTCATCAGCAAAGTTGCCTCCAATCCATCTGAGGTGCATTTCTTCACATCCCTGCATCTGGACATCTGTACCAATGTGCGCATGATGCTCATCATTGCCAATGTGCAAATTGGCCTCCATAGGGATTTTGCCTCAGTCCAATTGATCAAATAGTTCTTTAAAGAACACATAGTTCATTCACACAGTTCAACCAATAAAAAACCTTATAATTTAACCAATCATTTTCATGCTAGTAACCTCATCCTTCTCATAGAGCATCCACTGGTGCATCAATTCCATTCTTCGATCCATACAGCATGTCTTCTGATCATCCCAATCTCAGCTGACCAAATGATCAAATACATCTAACAGCCATGGCTTCAGCTAATTACTTGCATCTCATCTGTAATAAAATCAATGAAAAATCAAATAGGCAATCCAAAAATCAATGGCAAATCAAATAAGCAATAAAAATCATACCCAGGATCAGGCCAAGCATCTGACAAGCACCCATCCTCTCAACTCTTGGAATCGCTGATCCAGATGCCTGATCCTGTCCTAAGATGAACCCACTCTAATTAATTGATTATATTTAAATAGAACTCTATATATACATGTCTCTACATATATACATATACAAAAACAACAAGTATTAATGTATTCGTGTAAGAATCTCTGATCAGCCCACCTTGCACATCCATTCTGCGCTCAATAGAACTCATGTTGCCACACATGGCACTCATCTGCTCACTGATGGTCTCCACCCATGACCTGCCCAGGGCAAACAAATCCAAGCTCAAACACTAATACTACTATTGATGTCTAATTCATTAACCAATGAACTTATATATTTCCTCATACCCCCAGCTCCCCATGCTCATAGCCAAATACACCAGCAGCCCAATCAGTCCAATGAGGACTGATGCCAGCGCAATCATGATGATCTCATGCATCATCATTCTGATGAGCTGATAGTAGCTGATGATGCTGATTGCTGATAAGCTGATGAGCCAATCTAACAGCAAGACTCATCCAACAACAGCCTTGCAATCACCTCATTGGCAAACCTTATCACTGCTCATGTGGGTCCCCATGCAAATCTCATAATTTCACATCCTATCTCAAAAGCTCCCTTGGAAAAACAACCCATGGATCAATCTAACATGAACACTCATCCACAAGTTCTCATGTGGGTTCCCATGCGAACCTCATCAGTTCAACTACCCCATAGTTAAGTCTCATTGGAAAAACATCCCATGGATCCAACCCTACCCTTGCCCATCAGCATTGTTTTTTCAAACACATTTACGCTTATCGCCCCACATTCTCTATGGAATGAGGGGGGGTTCCTCATGTTGTGAAACTGGGTTCCTCATGCCCATGCTGGATCTCATCCCCATTCTTAGGCTCATAGTATGCCATGCTGCCAGCATTGGTGAATCCACATCCTATCCCATAGGTTCCATTGGACCAATCCTGCTCATCCCCAATGCTCTCACCCAATGGCTCTTCAGGCCTATAGTCCATATCCCCCCACCTGGGGAATCTCTCCAAAGAACCTGATGGAACCCATGGAATGATCCAACCATAGATACACCAATGATCTGATGCTGCAGGGTGATCACCATCATGCCCCAAACTCATAAAGAATCTCTTCTTCATCCCATCATTCTTGTCCACATACACATACATGTAGTCACGCTGTGACAATCCCAGCATACCCTCAATGATCACCCATACATTGCCCAGCGCATGGCTTCTCATGATACCACCCAAGCTCAACAGCTCATTGGTCATCTCCTCTGCTGAGTGCACCATGGCTCAATACCCACCAATACCCACCCAAACTAATAGCTTGTGCCAAAATATGCCCATGAATCATTGAACCAATGGTGTGCTCAGCAGGTTCTGATGTCCCCATCATCCCTGTCATTCCAATTCTTCCAAATACTAATTCCCTTTCATCCCAACCCTTCCAAATACTAATTCCCTTTCATTTCAATTCTTCCAAATACTAATTCCCTTTCCTTCCAATTCTTCCAAATACTAATTCACTTTCATTACAATCTTCCAAATACTAATTCCCTTTCATCTCAATTCTTCCAAATACCAATTCCCTGTCATTCCAATTTTCCAATGCATGCGCCAGTCTCATCTCCTCCTCCTCCTCCATATTGGAAGGCCCATCTCCCTATACTCATTGGCAATGCGCCAATCTCTCTCAGATTGGGTGTCATAGGCCATCAAATCATACCAATTCTCAACAGCCCACCAATCTGTCCATCCAGAATAGGCATCCACTCTCACCACATAGAGCCTCCATTGCCCATTCCTCCACCAAGCCCTAATATGCTTTGATCCAATTGGCATGGCTCTGATCTCTCAGATCTCTCATCAAATTTGTACCAATAAGCTCTCATGGATCTCATGATGAAAGGGAATTAGTATTTGGGCTCTCATGGATCTCATGATGAAAGGGAATTAGTATTTGGGCTCTCATGGATCTCATCATTCCATCCCATCTCATCTCCTCCTCCTGTCATCATCAGGTCATCCCCACTATTAGGGGGATGTGATCTCCAAACCCTCCAATCTCAGACCTTGTTGACCTTGTTGACCTTCTAGGGGGGGGGGCCCGTTGATTAATACGACGTTGACATTAGGGGCTCCTGGCCGTACTACTAGGAACAAGGACGCTACTAGGGGCTCCTGGCCGTACTACTAGGAACAAGGACGCTACTAGGGGCTCCTGGCCACGCTACTAGGGCTCCTGGCCGTACTACTAGGAACAAGGACGCTACTTGTGGCTCCTGGCCGTACTACTAGGAACAAGGACGCTACTAGGGGCTCCTGGCCGTAGTGCTAGGAACAAGGACGCTACTAGGGGCTCCTGGCCGTACTACTAGGAACAAGGACGCTACTTGTGGCTCC